TATGGCCGCCTTTCGCCCGCTTGGCTCGCGGACGCCCTCAGCCCATATCTTGATGCGTTCAGCTTTGGCACGGTTCGCACGTCGCGCCAGCTCCAAGTCGAGGTGTTGGATCAAAACGTCAAGGTGCTCTCCGTGGGCACTGGCTCGTCGGGGGTCCAGGCCTCGGGGAAGTCTAGGAGAACCGTGGGGCGCAGCTTGTGGCATAAGAGGCGGGCCGCGGTCCACGTGCAGTCGATGCGCTGCGCGAGGTACGGCGGGATAGCACGGCAATCCAAATGATGGTGCTGTCCGATGAAACGGAGCTCACAGAGTTGCCGATGGAGCTTGCGCAGTCGGTTCATGTGTATCGTGGAAGCTCCGTAGGTGGGGAAGGCGCGGGGGACAACTGGTCGATCTTCGAACGTGGGCGTAAGCCCGTGCATGGTGGGGGGCTTCTTTTTTGGGTGGTCGGGCGGTGGAGGTGGCAGGTCGCGCAGACGGGTGAGATGGTACTCATGACTGGCCTCGTTAGCCAGGGCGAACATGCGCTCCACGTCGTCGCGTGTGTCGGCCTGTTCCATGCGGTCCTGATATCGCCCAGCGATGAGGGTCCCTAGTGCCTGCAGCTCGTGACCCTCATGAGCTCCATCGTCGGGAGGGTAGGGCGTGGGGGCAAGAAGACGTCGGGCCGTATGGTCGAGGCGACTGAGGTCAAGCGTGACCTGCAGGCCAACATGAGACTTCGCTGGCAAGTCGCGAAGGTAGCAGAAGTCGGTGACAAGGGATCGCGCCGCTTGGTTGGCAATGATATAATCGATGCGCGAAGTGCGGGGGCACTTGGTGACGCGGTCCCAGTCAGGGATATTGCCGTATGTGTGCATGGTGTGGTCTGGTGTGCCCTCAGCAACGTTGAACCATCCGTGCTGCAACATGTGCAGAAGGTGTGGGTTGTCGTCAATGTTCGTATTGGCGTCCATGCAGATGAAGTAGGGGGCTGAGCCGACCCTCGCGGCGGCGCAGTCAGCGAGCCGAAAAAGAGCTGTGCTGTCTCCTCCAGCAATCCCGTAGAGGCTCGCTATGTAGATCCCCGCGGGCCCGTGGTTGTTTCGTCGCCGCCTGCGGCGGTGTTGAGTGCAGAGCGGGAGAAAGACCTCGTGCCATCTTTTCTTGGCCTTGAGGGCGGCGATACAGGGCGCATTGTCGTCGACAGTGGAGTCGACAATGGCATCCTTAGAGAGGATGGCGACCCCTCCCGAGGCGCCAGTGTTGCCCACAACGGTGTGGTCTGTGCCGCCGTGGGCAGCTCTGCGCTGGGCTCGCGCCAGATCAAGGTCAGGTCCAAGACTGGCGTGGTATCCTCCGTGGAGTGGATTGGCGGCGCTGGTAGCGATGGCTTGCCTAGTCGGCTTGGCATGTCGGGTCTCCTGCAGTGCTATGACTGCGGCGTTGTGGTCGACACCAAGGGCGGTGATGGTTGGCCAATTCGCTGAGAGACTGGTGATGTTAAGGCTGACGAGGTGTATGGAGCGACCTGGCCCGTCTCCATCGGTGGAGCTGGGGTTTGCACGCCCCGCACGGTGAAGGTCAGCCTGACCCTCGCCCAGGTAGGAGGCTTGGCCACAGTAGGAGCTCATGGCGTTCCTATGGATTAGCTTGACCGGGGCTGAAGCCGCCGTCAGGCCAGAAGTATAGGCGGGACACGGTCGGCACTGCGCCAGGGGGGGTTCATAAACGTCAGTAAAAATGTCACGAAAAATCCTCCTCACTCCAGTACTGTAGGGGACGAGGGGAGGAGAGGTGAGACGGCAGCAGAGGGAGAAGGAGGCGACTCCTCGATCCGTCCTGCCGAACACAGAAACAAAAGCGAACCAGCGGCGGCGGCTAGGCGCGGCGGCGGCACAACGCACGCGCATGTACTGCGCACGCGACACCGCTGGTCCCTCCTGCGGTGGCGCGCCCGCCCCGTCAGTATCTTGATGAGCAGCATCTGGTGGAACGGCTCCAGCAGCACGGTCGGAGGCCTGGCGCTGGGCCTCGTCCATGCCCGCTGCCGTGAGGCCCACGTTGCGGACAGGGCTGATTCCCCGCGGGGCCGCCGCTGCCGCGGCAGCAGCTGAGGTGGCGGGGGCTCCGCCCCGACTCTGAGGTGAGAGCGGTGAGCCACCGCCGAAACCCGCCACAAGGTTCTTGACACGGTACTTGTTCTTGAACGGGTCGAAGGTTGGCGCCTCGTCGATGGGGACGATCACGCGGGTGGTCAGCAGCGGCTCGTGGTCCGTGGACGGCGTCGGCTCGAGGTCAACCGCCTGGCCAGGTTCGACGACGCTGGCTCCGAAGCGTGGCACCACTTCGGGGGCTCGGCCATCAGCCTGAGTCTCGCGAGGCGGCGAGCTCGTGGAGCTCCCTGGGGCCTTGCGTGAACTGTGGCGGCTGCAGGTCCTGCTGCGCGGGACGCGCCCGCCCGTGTGGCGGTCGCGTGGCGAGGTCGCCTGGGCATTAGCGCGCTCGGAATCCGCCCTGCTCGGGGATCGGATCGGCGCCGCGCAGGGTGATGGGCTGGGCTGGCGAGAGGCGCTTATGCCGCCCTCCGCCGTGGCTGTGGCCTGGTCGGGGTCGACAGCGTCGGGGCGGGGGCTGACGTGGTGGGCGCTTCCCTCGCTGTGCCGCGGGGAGGCGCTGTGATGCGCCTGGATGTGCGTGAGGACGAGCGGGGTAAGCGGCTGCCTCTCCCGCTCAGGTGGGGCAGGTTTTGCCTGGGCAGGGCGCAGTGCTGCAGCCACGTTTGGCGGGGGCGTGTGCTGGCGAGGTTGCCAAGCGCGCACGTTCGCATCACGCCATCCTTCGGGGCGCCCAGCCCTGCCACGGTTTGTTGCAGCCCCCTGG